GCTCAAAAATTTCCAAAATTCTGGCATCTATGGCCAGACCGGGGGCAAATTCCTTAGAACTTTGGAATTTGTTGAGCATAGCAGTGTTTCGTAAGCTTTCAGGCTTGGAAAAATTGATTCTTTTTTGAGCATTACAGTGTATTGTGAGTTTTGAACCACGAAACACTGTAATGCTCCAAAAAAATTCCAGTTATCCCAAAATTCTGGCATCTATGGCCAGGCCGGGTGCAAATTCCTCAAAACTTTGGATTTTTTTTGAGCATGGCAGTGTTTCGTGCGTTTCAAGGCTTGGAAAAGTTGATGTTTTTTGAGCATTAAAGTGTTTTGTGAGTTTAAACCACCAAACACTGCTATGCTCAAAAAAAGAGCTTTGAGGCTGTGAAAAGTGGATTTTCTGAAAGTGTTTGTGTGTGTTGGCAAATCGTGCAGGTGCAAATTTTCGACAAGTAGTAGCTCGTAGGCTTATATCTAGCAAGATGTGAATAAACGTAGGATTCAACAACTAATACACTACTTTTACAGGTCGGGCTAGTATAAAAACAATGTGAACAATAGCCACGGGACTAGCGTACCTAGGAAAGTTTCTTTTTCAGACAAACTAAGACTTAAGACAGGGGAAAATAAAGAGTGTTAGCTGGTTTGCGTACCTAGGAAAGTTTTTATTCAGACATAGTAAGACAGATGGAAATGAAGATTGTAAGCTGGGTTGGGTTTACTCAAGCCGTCAGAACGGTGAGGATAACCATAGTAATAAAGACACTGGTCACAGGAAGAGCATCATTGGTAAATGTAACAGTGAAACTACGTGCTGGCATAGAAGAAAATATGAGTACTTTCGTATACTTTGCATATAACCAAGAATCGGAAAGGTTTGTAGGGCCGACCCCGCACAATTCAAGCACAAAGCGTGGGTACATGAGGGGGGTAGCATATATATATATATATACATAAGAAATATATATATATATATATATATATATATATATATATATGCTCCCCCCCCCCCCCAAGATCCACGCCTGCCCTGCCCAGGTACTGGCCTCAGCCTTCATCGAGCCACCCAGAGCGCAGTACATCAACAAGATCTTGCTCTACCTGAACCTTCGTAGCTGAGTAGGTATTCTTTAACCTTTGTGGGGTTTACATAATCCTACCTACCTTAAGTGAAAAGGTTAACCCTTTTAGGGCTAGGGTACTCAGCCCCCAAGGAACAAGGAGATGGAGGTAGTGTGGAATCTCAAGACCATTCATTGTGCGACTTACCGTCAACCCTAAACCTTAATCCCAAACTATCCTTCCAAATCGATACCCTAAATCGAACACGCTGTGATGCGGCTCAGAGTGGCCCCGTCTGAAAGTAAGAGTAGAAAGAGAGAACTAGCGCAACATGCCGTTCTACAATACCATGTGGAAGATGCATCTGGCACGGGCGTTTCCAGTGGACGTGCTTGAAGCAATCATCGAGTTCGCGAAGAGATGCTGTGCTATCATATCAAGTTTTTTGTTGCATGTACGGACCGGAACACAAGCTCTTCTGATTTTGGATCACAAATCCTGTCAAGATCCTCCGCTTGGGCCCGTGCCGTCGGCACCAGTGGACTGGGAAGCGCATATCGATACACTTCCAAACGGCACTTGGCTGTTTACTCCTTTTTTGTTTATATAGCTCTTTAGGCTCACGTATATTATGCTCATAATGCAGATGCAAGGAGATCGGGTCATGCAGTACCGCGAATTGGTCTACAAAGTAGCCCGTGGCGGTGATCAGCTTCTGAGTGAGGAAGACATGTTCGCCCTATCCCACTAAGTGGGACAAGCGTCGATTCTCACAGAACTTGCTGCAAGTATGGAAAACATGCGGAAGTGCATGCACTTCTGTGTTTTGCTTCCCAGTTCAATTAAAGCGGTCACGCCTCCGTCGTCTCGTAGTTGATTGCGTGTTCATAAGCATATCTTGGTATATGCAACATTTTCTTCTGCCACACAGAACAAACAAAAAATCCTCGCATTTAGTATGGAGCATCAAGCACACAATCCTTGCATGTAGTGTGGAGCATCGACGCAAAAATCCTCGCATCAAGTATGGAGCATCAGCAAAAGTCTTCGCATTCAGTGTGGAGCATGGAACAGTAATCTCATCCCGACATCTTGCCGCAAGCAATGCCGACGTTATTTCATGAACTGTCGGAGAGAAAACCAAACTGCAGCCTGCGCCTCGAGCACCGATTCTTACAGCAATCTTCGCCCTTTGCCCTTTCTCATTGACGCCATGGCCAGCTCCATTCCGTCGCGCCCCGTGAGCTTGGCCCAGAACGAGCACTCAGGCAGCCTGGACGGCAGCATGACTTTTGAGGAAGCCATGGCGAACACGGACGGCTTAAAGGTGATTACCTTGGAAAAACCCATGATTGTTCACAAAGAGCCAGGCTTTGTGAGCATAGGTGACCTTCCAGCAGTCAACAACCTCACAGATGTCCTCAAAAAGAAAACGCAATTCCTGGACGTCATTATGGGGTACGAAGGACCAATTGACTTCAAGAGCCTGGAGCAGTTGTTCTTGCAACAGCGCTACGCCGACCTCCCTGACCCCATCCGCAACAAGGGCAGGGTGGAAGTGGCTTACAATATGCAGTTGGTCATTGTGCCCTGTGATGACAGCAAACACCACATCATCAAGCATGTCAAGTTCGTGGACGGCACCAAGGTACTCCACTCCACCATACTTAGTATGTGCTCGGGTCAAGCCTTGGAGATTGACTATCAGGGCCGCTACAGAGATGGAGGTCGTGCCTTCCAGTACATGCTAGAGAATATGGGCGGGTTTCAGGTTCGCTATCAGAAGCTGGTTCCTGCAGGAGCTTCCAACAAGGTTCCGAAAGAAACGGAGGACATCAGGCGAGGCTTCCACTTCATCAAGGACCACGGGCCCGAGGACAATGCTCAGGGCGAGTTCACCATTTGGACCGAGGAACAGGTGAACGACCCCAGTGGTCCCTTGTACCGTTGGGAGCGCGGCGTAATCAAGGAGTACCTCAGGTGTCTAGCTGACGCAGGTTCACAGGCCAATACCATCAGGGATTGGCCTCTGACCTTGAAGAGCTTTACACCTTGGGCACTCAATGACGTGATTATGCCCTTGCTACCCTTCTTGAAAGAGCACGCCGTTATCTACATTGGGAGATCGCAGGTGGGAAAAAGTCCGCTTTCCTACACCCTTTCTTCCTTGATCTCGGCTTATTGGCTCTTTCAAGAGGGCAAGACAGACACTCCTCCGATGTTTCAGACATGCAGTCATCTGGACTATTTCCGAAAGGAAAAAGGCCGGAAGACCAAGCCCAGGGTGTTCGACGATGGGAACCTCAACCTCGAGCACCCTGCGTCTGTGAAGGCGGTGACAGAAGTCTCGGGTCTGGACCGGAAAACAATTGCGCGCTGGAATGCCAGCTCGTATGAGAAGAACCAGCTGTGCCAAATCTGTTCCAATCCGTATCATAAACAGATTGAGCCGGCCATGGTGCTCAACACGCCCTCAGACTTCGTCCCGTTCCAGACCTTCTTTAACATCGTGAGACCTTCCTTCCACAAGGACTTCAACGACGAGGACCTCATGGGTATTTTCAAGCGGTCTGTCGTCGTTGTGTTCACCCAGGTTGCTATCTACATCCGATTGCCGGGTACCCAAACAGACCCCGTCAAGCGGCTGGCATGGCCGGAGGGAGATGTAGGGATGGTCTCCCCTTGCGCACGTCCCACCTATGACGCCTTCCTGAAGGGAGAACTCGTCGCCCAACCTTCTTCGTTCAATGACGATTTGCAGTGGAGTCTCAATCTTTTACAGGCTGCATTTGACAAGGAGCCCGTTGATACCGCCTTCACTGTCCGAGGTCGTGAAATGTCTACCGGCCGCACCTTTGTGAAGGAGCGCAGACCAACTTTGGCAGGTATTTCCGGTGATACCGTCTACTATCTCCATGAAGCGGCAGATCTTGAAAGTGCTGGGCCTCAAACCAAAAAGCTCAAATCCGTCAGGTCATCCTCTGCACTTTTGGGCACGGAGAAGGTCGAAGATGCGAACCTCAAGAGCGACTCTTCTTTATCCGCACCGCCCGCACCCGCACCATCTTCGCATGCCGCACCTGGCCATGGACTCGTCACTGCCACTCATATTGCACAATGGAAATTATTTTATCAACTCATAAGTTTGTCTCTACACGGATAGGTTTGAGGTTCATGGCAACATGTGCTCGTGACCAGGTGAAGAAGGAGCCCCAGGAGACGACGCCTTCCGCCTTCAAGCAGGCCTTCGGAAAGAGGGTCCTGCAGCTCAATATCTCCAGCGGGTCCGAAACGGCGGCGCCCGCGGAGCTTCCCAAACCCTCCCCAAAGGATGAGGCGAGCGACTCCGAAAAGGCTGTGCTTGCCGAATCTTCCAAATCCTCTTCAAAGGACGAGATGGATGTTGATGAAGAGTTCCCGTACAACCTTTCCCAAGAACTTGAGGAGGAGTTTGAAAAATGCGATGACGCCGGCGACGAGTGAGACAAGTGTAGTGCCGTTTCTCGTAGGCAGCATGCAATGACGAATCATCGCATGAAGTATGGGGCATCAAACAAAAAATCCTAGCATGTATTATGGAGCATCACACCAAAACTCCTTGCAAACACTCTTAAGCATCTTCAACCTCTAATGCTGCTGACTCAAGCCCCACTATGGGCATGCTGCCGAAAGTGCTTTCTCGATTTGAAAAGCGGTACCCAGGTAGTGGACCGCATTTTGCAGACTTGAGTCCTCCCACACACTTTTCTTAGGTCCGCGTGAGGCACAAATGAAATGTTTCGGTCGCTAATGTTTCTTTGCAACTGCCTGCTGTCATGCACCACGTATGCCAGGAGCAGAAGCGAAGAAGGTGACTCGTACTGTAGCTTCTTTCTGCCATCTCAAGTACTGTAGTAGTCGCCCAAGCTTTCATCGACATCATGCCGAAGAAGGTGATGAAAGCTATGAAAAAGCCGCAGTTTCCTCTTCCGAAACGGGGGAAACGTCGTGTTCAAAGGCGCCCAGCGGCCACGAACACCTACGTCCCTGTGCCCTATGTTCGTCATGGTCAGCCAACCACGAAGAACAAGGCACACCGCCAGCGCTGGGGACGATCAGTTCAAATGTTCATGGCATTGCGGGGCCGCAGGCTCATAGAGCGGCTGCAAAAGGATCAGGTCCTACCCAACTGGGAGGGTCACACATGTCCTCGTTGCAGCACAGGCTCTCTTGGTAGTCTCAAATACTTCAAGGAGAAGAAGGTTTGGGCCTACCGCTGCAGCCACCGTCATTGCCACAAGATGTTGCAGCCTCACGACTATCACCCCATCTTCTTCCTCGGTGCGGGCAACTCCCAGACAAAACTGCACGAGCAAGCGGCTGTGCTCTACGCGGCAGTGGCAGGGGTCTCTTCTCAGGCAGCTCATCTGGTCCTGGATATGGACCACAAGCCAGTGGAGAGAATCTTTGCCAACTTGGAGGTTGCCCGTGCCCGGTATGTCACCGCGAAGGAGAAGGACATCACCTACGGTGGCAACTGGGAGGATGCGGAAGTCGACGAGGTCGACATTGGCAAAAGTACCGACAACAACATTGAGGGCGATTACAACACGAAGTGGGAACAGTGGGGCGGCCTTGTCCAACGAGGCTGTCCTTCATCGCTTCGTCTTTTCAAGCTGGAGCCGAAGCTCACCAAAAAGCGAGCTCCCGGCCCGGGGCCTATCAGGAAACGAGACTGGAAGGGCATCGGGATGAAGCTCCTCGCCAACTCCAAGGTTGTCTTGCACAGCGACGGCGCCAAGGCCTACAAACTCAAAATCCCGGAGGTGATCCACTGCAACGTCGTCCACCAGACAAAGAAGGTTAAGATCAACGGCAAGGCCTCCCATGAATCAAGAACATGTCTTTCTGAACATGCCCATTACTCCAGTTCATGTCAATTCACACGCCTTCTGCACAGGTGCACTGGATCAAGCCTCACTACACGAAAGTGTACAAGGTGAAGTTGCCGAACGGCAACCTTCTGAGCGTGAAAAGCGGCACGCAGATAATCGACCGCTTTTGGGGACATTTGCGTAGCTTTTTGAAGCACACAGATCGCACTCCAGGCAACCAGGCCCTCACAAGGAAGATTCGCTCAGCCCAGTTCACCTACTGGTTTCGCTATGGCAACATGTGGAAAGCCACAGGTACCATGCTTGACTTCCTTTGGAACAATAGCTAGGGGAGCTGCCTTGCCTCTGCAAATGCCATCGCAGGCACCATTTTGATTTAGATGCTCCAGCGGTAAGCTGTGAATCGGCACCCAGCGACTCCTCGCGCACAAAACATCGGCCCGAAGCAATCATGCATCAGTCCTGCTCCACATGGTTTGCCGAGACGTCGGACTCATGTTCGTACTGAAAATAATTAGATCGTCCACATCCAACAATCTTTGCCGCAGCATTCACGGTTCCAGCAAGAAACTTAGAGTAGAATGGTCCCTGAACTCTGCTTCTCCAAACCCAAATTTTAAGGACAGTACAGCACTTTAGGGCACTGGAGCTTTAAAAGTGCTGTACTGTCCCTAAATTTGGCCTCTGCCAAACCCAACTTTTAGGGACAGTACAGCACTTTAGGGCACCTCAGCTTCAAAAGTGCTGTGCTGTCCCTAAAATTCGGCTTTCCCAAGCCAAAAGTGTTGTACTGTCCCTAAAAAACCTAAAAAACCTATCCTCCAGAGACTATCGGCTGGGAACGCCTGAAGGTTGCTGGGGGATAGGTTTTTTAGGTTTTTTAGGGACAGTACAGCACTTCTGGCTTGGGAAAGCCAAATTTTAGGGACAGTACAGCACTTTAGGGCACTGGAGCTTTAAAAGTGCTGTACTGTCCCTAAATTTGGCCTCTGCCAAACCCAACTTTTAGGGACAGTACAGCACTTTAGGGCACCTCAGCTTCAAAAGTGCTGTGCTGTCCCTAAAATTTGGCTTTCCCAAGCCAAAAGTGCTGTACTGTCCCTAAAAAACCTAAAAAACCTATCCTCCAGAGACTATCGGCTGGGAACGCCTGAAGGTTGCTGGGGGATAGGTTTTTTAAGTTTTTTAGGGACAGTACAGCACTTTTGGCTTGGGAAAGCCAAATTTTAGGGACAGTACAGCACTTTAGGGCACCTGAGCTTCAAAAGTGCTGTACTGTCCCTAAATTTGGCTTCTGCCAAACCCAACTTTTAGGGACAGTACAGCACTTTAGGGCACCTCAGCTTCAAAAGTGCTGTGCTGTCCCTAAAATTGGGTTTTCCCAAACCCAAATGGAAAGGACTGCACAGCACTTTTCAACACTACTGCTTGTAAAGTGTTATACTGTTATACTGTCACTGAATCTTGACTGTCAAATCAAAATGATAGTGACAGCATACTATTGTGCGTAGTGGTATATCAACAGTCTTTTCCAAAAATACAAGGTATGTCATGCCTTTGGTTCCTTGGCGGTATCTTGGTGTTGGCACTCTGCCTCCCACTAAGCCATTGATTTCGGAACCAGATCCTGGTGTGCAAAATGTTCGATGTCAAGAGTTTGTAGACATGCTATGAGCAAAGAAGCTGTTCTACAGAGAAGCCGTTCCCGCTGGTATTTACAGCACTTTCTGCACATGGAGAAGGTAGGTTCGAAACGCTTGGTTATGCGTGAGAGAGAGGAACAGAGTGGGTGTGGATCTTGGGGGGGGGGGTGACCATATATATATATTATATTATATTATATTATATTATATTATATTATATTATATTTTATTATATTATATTATATTATATTATATTATATTATATTATATTATATTATATTATATTATATTATATTATATTATATTATATTATATTATATTATATTATATTATATTATATTATATTATATATTATATATATATTATATATATATACACATATATATATATATATACTGAAGGGTGTCGAGCTGATAACCAACCGTATGAGCCCTAAAACATTCGAACCCTAAAAACTCCACACCTAAGTAGGGACCCAGGAGCCTTAGGCATGCCAAACGCCAGATCGCACATTGTGGATTGAGCTTCCCAAAGATTCCAAAACCCCTTAATTAAGGAATATACCTTAAATTATAATAGGATCCCTTATATGATTTAAGGTATATTCCTTAATTAAGGGGTTTTGGAGTCTCTGGGTTCATTGTTTTTGAATTCAAGCACTGCTACACCGCAAACCTTGCTTCACCTGCCTCCCTTGAGGCCCTCAACAGTGCTCTCGCGCTCATCCGGCTCTCAGCAGAGTTTAGAGTCCGGGGTTAGGGATTGGGGGTTGAAAAAATCAAGAGTGTCGCGATAACCGCGACTACGATGATGGCAAGGTCCTCTTCATGGCCTATGGGTGTTCATACTGACAGTATTATCCGGATCCAGACCGCGCGGACATTGCTTGAACACGTACATTTCCAAAATCTCAAACCCATAAACCCTGATGCCTGCGCAGATTTCGTATAAAACCCTTTAGAAGCCTAAGTTGACCCTCAAGGCCCTGCAGCTGATGGTCCCGGCCGTCACTTTGATGACCCACAAATCGTCCATAGTGCCTTGCGCCAGGGGTGCTTAGAGGTTCATGGGACTTAGTAACTTTGGTTATAATTAGAGTAACTACACTTATATGTACTTATAATCCCAATTAGGGTACTTATAACTGCATTTAGTAAGTCCCATGAACCTCCAAGTGGGCTTGGACGTTTAGGGCCTACGCTACAAGCTTATAACATGCAGGGGCCCACTCTCCCAAACACACCTAGAAAGATACTGACCACTGAGTGATTGACTCTGGAAAAGGCAAGGGATCCCAGGTAGAGTTAACAAATACTACGCTTTACGGTGTGACATCAGGCGTTTTACTTAATTGCAGCTCGCTTGTCTGGACTGTCTGGTGCGTAGCTTGACAATCTCAGAGAAACTTTCCAACAGGGTTCATGTATGCTTGAGTGAAGTAGAAGATAGTAGAAGCAAACACACGCATGTTACGAGATCATGCTCTCGTCGATCCTCTATGGCCCAAACGTGTGAGAAGGGTGGGAGGGAAGTTCTGTATCTAAAACCTACCTCTGGATAGTAGGGAAGAGGGAATGGAAGAATGGTAGTTATAATGGTACCCCATTCCTCCATTCCCTACTAACCCAAGGTAAGTAAAGTATCTATCTGCGTGCAAGTAAACAGCAAGATGACACTGAGTTTTTGAGGTTCTGGTAGTCCAGCCACGATTGGTCGCCTTGCCGGCCGCCCCCCAAACTTCCCGGCCCTCCTGGCCTGCCCTGCCCTGCCCTGGCCGTTCCTGCCCTGCCCTGCCCTGCCCCGCCCCTCCCCCCACTGAGGAAACGGACTCTCTGTCACCTGGTTCGTCGTAGTGGCTACAACGTCCCCCCGGCTCCTCTCGCATTGCTTGCTGAACCTCCGATGCCAAAGCATGCGAGCTTCACGCTTGCATCAGGGGCTGCGCTTTCTCCCTATACTCTCTGGGTTTTTTTCCCTCCTAGGGTTTCGGGTTTATAACTTTTAAGCTTTATGGTTTGGTACTTAGAAGTTTCGGGTTTAAGGCTTATGGGCATTGGTAGGCTTTCGGGTTGGCTGCTTTCCGAAACAATGAACCTGCTTCAAGCACAGCCGCGCCGAGGCGGACGGCGCGAAGCGTTTAAAATTCGGCCCCAAAGACAATCCTAGTAATGATTGTGAAGACTTCAGGCGGCTGAGATCCGCGCTGCCATCACTGCCCCCATGGATCCAAAATCGCCTGGGACAAAACGAGCCAAGCCAAGATTTTGGGTGCCAGGTTTCGGTAGCCAGCCCATCCGTTGTCTACTGCGTCCACGGTTTGGGGTTTCGGGGCGGCTACTGCTACCATGACGACAATAACGACGACCCTACCAGATTCGCCGGGAAACACTTGCAATATGCTCATCATGTAGTCAGGAAAGTATGACGAAATTGCCAGAATGAATTCATCAGCTAGCAACAGTAGGATGATGAAGATAAACATGTCTTAGGCCCGCTTGTCTAGAGCAACGCACAGCATTATAGTACTCATGGAAGTTAACCAGCCCAATGCAACACAGACAAGCATAACTACTAGTTAACCTGAACCCTACTAGCCCTAAACCTGACCCATTACTATCCCTATACCCTCGCTCTAGGCCCTCACCTCCAACCCTAAGTCCACAGCCTAAACCACCTTCGCATTTCTTCCAGCCGATTTCAGCATGCCAGACCCGCAAACTGTTCTGGTCTGCACCACAACAACAACAGATACTACTCCTCCTCCTCCTCCTGCTGCTGCTGCCACTACTACTACGACGACGACTACGACGACCACCACCACCACCACCACCACCACCACCACCACCACCACCACCACCACCACCACCACCACGACCACGACCACGACCACGACCACCACTACTACTACTACTACTACTACTACTACTACTACTACTACTACTACTACTACTACTACTACTACAGTACTACTACCGACGGCGACGACGACTACTACACTGATGGCGTTTTCGGGCACGACAACCATTTCAGAGGTCGGCAACGGCTATCATGCCAAACACAGAAATACCTAGTTTGGCTCCTGCAGAAGAACCTATACCAAGGCTCGTCTAGAGTTGGTGGTTACGGAGCAGCTGCTAGAGGTTGTGGAACTTCAAGAAACCCCGAAGGAACACGACTACAGGGTTTAAAGATTCCGACCCCTGTTGTAAGCTTGCAGATGCCAGGGCCTTAGGGCACAAAGGTTCCTGGATTTATGTGACATGGGGTTTGGGGTTCATAGTTCTACACCTCGCAACAGCTACTTGCGCAAAGAGCGGTATGGTCAAATCAATATCCCAGAAGATGTGCACGAATCGGATTCGTTGCAACCAAGTCGCCCGTCAGAAGAGAGCGCTCCAGCCATGTCTACCCGCGCAGGTGGCTTCACGGTAGGATTAACCTGCAGAAGGGTATAGGCTTCAAGGTTTAGGGCCTAGGGTTTTTCCCTCCTGCCCACCCCTAAGCCCTAAACTGAACCCTAAACGGCTCGGGGAGAATCAAACCTCCTCAGCTCTGCTGGTTGAGCGCTTTGTGCCCGAAGCCCTACTTGGAGGGCTGGGGGACTTAGTAAGTATGTACTAAGCAGACTTCCAAGTACCGTGAACGGGATCCTAGTTTGGGTTGTGAGATTACTTACATGTCTATAA